ACTATTACTACGCTGGGGAATTGCATTGTGGGGGAAAACATGGATTTTTGTGAGGAATAATGCTTCGGATATGATTTCACGGCGGAAGGCAGGATCTGTTGGGGCCCATCTCCCCTCCCATAGCTTGGAATTATGTAAAGGACTGTTAACCTGTTGGTCAACCATTTCCGTTGGGCTTCAATGATTTTGAGAAAAAGAAAAATAAGAGAAGTAACTGAGTTAAGTTCACACTCAGGTCCAAAAAAAAAAAAAACTGAGTTAAGTTCACCCATAGGGAAGCACGTGCCTAGCAGCCTTCATCATATGCCTCAGCTGTTTGGAGCATGGCATTTCTGAAAAAATGGAAACCTCAAATTTTCAACCCAACAAAAAGAAGAAGAAGAAGGAAGCAACCTCAAACAAGCTTCCAGGAGATGAAACCAGTGAAGCCACAAATCTATCTGCGGACGTTTGTACTAAATAACTACTAGTAATTGGTGAGTGTTCTTACGATAGATTTTGGTCCTCCACAGACAATGCAAGCATCAATTTGCACCTTCAAAGATGTTTTACATCACAAATTGAAATACAAGAAAGCGAGTCAAAACAAGCAAATTGGTACAAATTTGCTTCTTTTGATAAGTCAATGAAGAGGTCCAACTCTCTCTCGGCCAAGAATCACGAGAAGGAGGAAGGAGGAGCGGATGGGATTACGATGCAGGAGGAGGATCAAGAGAGAAGGAGGGAAACGAAGAAGGGGAAGAGGGATGGAGAGCATAGAAAGAATACTCTCTAAAAGAGATAAACTTAACAGTTAATTTATTTTAATTCTTAAAGCCCACAAAATGAGATGGGGTTGAGATATAATCTCAACTCTAATCTTAAGAACTAAAAGACGAACATTCCAGGTGGCCCGGAAAAAAAGCAGAACATTCTAAAATACAATTACAAAATATGATAAAAAGTTCATAATTACGATAAAACAGCTGCCCTGAGATAAAATAGTTGACAGTCTCCGAATTATGGTTCAGATCACAGCGTTCATTGTTAAACATATTCATTGTTGTGATTTAATTGGGTAGTTAGAATCTTGGGCTTTCTTGTAATTTTGTTAGATTCTTAGTTGAGTTCCCATGCCTATATATATTGGGCTTGTAAAACGGATGAGTTAAGCAGTGTCAATAATACATGGTATTATTCAGATAATTGGGCCCTCTTGTTTTACATGGCATCAGAGCCAGCCGTTGTAAATACCAGGTAGTTCGGGTATTGGGTCCTCTTTGATCCGAGATGAAGATCGGGTTTTGTTCATGTTGAGGTCCCCTCTGATCCAAGTTCAACAACCGGATCCCCTTCTTCGTCCTTCTGCTCACCAGAACTAGGGATTCAAGTTCTTCGTCCCATTTTACCAGATCGCACCACAGAAAATTGCGATTTGGTCAGTTCTGTTTGCTCCTCGCGTGGCTCGTCGCTCTGAGTCTCTATTTCCGGCGAATCACCGAGTCGAAGCTTTCTTTGTTTCCTTCGTTCACGGTACAAATCGGTCATCGCATTGTTATTTTTTTTTGAACGAACGATCAACAATAATTGTCAAGAAAGGTTTTCTTGCTCCCTGGTTAGTTTGATCATTAGTCCTCAATTTTCTTTTCTCCTCCACCTTCGTCCGTTCTTTGTTCTGTTCCTTCCCACGACCAAGTCAATTCGCCATGCCTGAGTCAGATGAACAGAAGACGCAAGCTCTTGATTTTCAACACCCTCTATATTTGCACCCGGCTGACACACAAGCGCACACACTTGTTTCTCAAGTCCTTCGAGGATCTGAAAACTACTCAATATGGAGTCGGGCTATGCGATTATCTCTTCTGGCCAAAAACAAGGTGGGTTTCATTCAAGGAACCTGTCTTCGTGAAGAACAAGAAACTCATCTTCAAGAGCAATGGGACCGGTGTAATGCTGTAGTGTTATCCTGGGTCATCAATTCGGTCGACGCTCAAATAGCTAGTGGACTGGTTTTTTCTTCAAATGCACATTTAGTCTGGCTCGATCTCAAGGAGAGATTTGACGTAATCGATGGTGCAAAAATTTTTACTCTCTATCGGTCAATCAACTCACTTGTACAAGGGACTATGGCCGTATCTGTATATTACACAAAGTTGAAGGAATTATGGGATGAGCATTCATCATTGGTCCCAATTCCTACTTGTTCCTGCCAATCCTCTAAAAAGTATGCCAAGAGCGTCCAAGAGCAACGGCTGTTCCAGTTTCTTATGGGACTCAATGAGGTATTCCATCAAGTTCGAAGTCAAATACTCTTAATGAAACCTCTCCCATCTCCAAATCAGGCGTATTCCATGGTCGTCCAAGAAGAAACACAGAGGCATATTTCATTTGGACAACCCAATACTCTATCAGAAGGTTCTGTTCTGGTTACTAACACCACCAGAGGAGGCAGAGGTCGTGGACGAGGCCGTGGGAGAGGAAGAACCCAAGACGAATGTACCCACTGCCATAGGAAAGGCCATAAAAGGGAAACCTGTTATCAGCTCGTTGGTTTTCCACCTGGGTTTGGATCGGGCAGGGGAAGAAAGGATCAAGAAGACCAAGCCAACCCAGCTGTAAATGATTCTGTGAAGTCGTCCAGCCATAATGAAGTGTCTCAAAGTTCACTGTTTACACCAGAGCAATATAAGCAAATTCTGGAGTTGCTCAAGCGTGATTCAGATCCAAGTGAGAATGCAGTAAGCATTCAGGCTACTACTCCAGGTTTGGCTGTAAACTTGGACTCTGAATGGATTCTGGATTCTGGGGCTAGTTGCCATATAGTTTGTAGTCTTTCCTTCTTAGATAAATATGCTCTTTACGTTGGACCACCTAAATGGGTTAAGGTTCCAAGTGGTGAACGAATTAGGATCACTCATATTGGACAAGTTAGAATTACCAAGAATATTTTTTTGAAAGATGTTTTATATGCAAAAGAATTTTGTTATAACCTGATTTCTATCGCTAAGATCACTTTAGATAGTTTATATGTGGCTTCCTTCTTCCCTAATATTTGTGTCTTGCAGGACATGTTCAATGGGATGATCAAAGGGATTGGTAGACTTTCAAGGAACCTTTACTTGCTTAAGAGAGAAACTACTTCTGAATTCATGAATACTGTCAACAAAAATGATTCTTTACATGCTGTAAATTTTTCTCTTTGGCATCTTAGACTTGGACATGCACCTATGGATGTCATGAAACATTTAAATGACATGAAAGTTACTGATTGTACTTCTGATAGTAATAAATGTGAGATATGCATTCAAGCCAAGCAACCTCGGTTGCCTTTTGTTTCCAGTACTTTTAAGTCTTCTTTCTGCTTTCAATTACTGCATATTGATGTGTGGGGTCCCTACAGAACACCTACACATCAAGGGCACAGATATTTTTTGAGTATAGTAGATGACTATTCTAGAGGCACTTGGGTTTTCCTAATGCATTATAAATCTGAAGCTGCGAAATTTCTCAAGACATTCATTACTTATTCTGAAAATCAGTTTTCTGTCAAAGTTAAATCTGTTAGAACTGATAATGGAAGAGAATTTGTTAACAATGAAATGAGTGAATTCTTTGCCTCTAAAGGAATTGTACACCAAAAATCCTGTCCTTTTACCCCCCAACAAAATGGTATTGTTGAAAGGAAGCATAGGCACATTTTGAATGTTACTAGGAGTATCATGTTTCAATCACATATTCCTGCAAAATTTTGGGGGGAAGGGGTTAGAACTACTGCTTACCTGATAAATCGTTTACCCTCTAGATCCTTGGGCTATGTTACACCTTATGAACTACTGCATCAAAGACCACCTTCCATTAAGCATCTAAGAATTTTTGGCTGCCTTACCTATGCTGTGAATTTAAATTCCAAAGACAAGCTACAACCTAGAGCCGAGCCTTATGTTTTTCTAGGATATCCTACTACTCAAAAGGGATATCTCCTATATAGTATTAAAAATCAGAATTTGATTGTTACAAGGGATGCTACTTTTCTGGAAAACAAATTTCCTTTTAAAGATGCTAATAACATTAGCCAAAGGGGAGCCAATAAAGTCAGAATTGACCCCTTCTTGATTGATCATCATGATCAACAGCCCTTTAATATAATGCAGGATGAGGTTGAACATAATAGATACACAGACACACAGGAAACTGTTAGGGAGTTACAGAGTCAACATTTAGGACAAATTAATCCTAATCAATCCTCTTCTAATCAATCCAGTAGGCCTCTCAGAAATAGACAACCACCAAACTGGACTAAAGATTATGAATGTGATATTCTGCCTCGTTGCAATCAAAATAATGAATCTTTGCTTTCCTGTATCACTTGTGATGATTTAACTGATTCCTATAAGTGTTTTCTTTCTGCCATAGATAGGGAAATAGAACAAGATAATTATATGCAAGCTTCCAAAGACCCTAGATGGGTCACAGCCATGCAGAATGAGATGAAGGCCTTGGAAGCAAATAAAACTTGGGAGATAGTGACTTTACCTAAAGGAAAGAAACCAATAGGGTGTAAATGGGTGTACAAAGTGAAATATAAGGCTGATGGAAAGATAGATAAGTTTAAAGCTAGGCTTGTTGCTAAAGGGTATAGTCAAAAGGAGGGGGTTGATTTTTATGAGACTTTTTCCCCAATTGTTAAAATAGTCACTATTAGAACTGTTCTTAAATTAGCTGCTTTGAATGATTGGTCTTTACATCAAATGGATGTGGATAATGCTTTTCTGCAGGGAGATTTACATGAGGAAGTCTATATGACTGTACCTCAAGGTTTTGAGCAGAAATCTGATCAGCTCAAAGTCTGTAAACTTCAAAAATCTCTATATGGTTTAAAATAGGCCTCACGCCAATGGAATGAAAAATTAACTCAATCTTTAATCAAAGGGGGTTTCCAGCAAAGCAAGTATGATTATGCTTTATTTCAAAAGAAATTTAAAACTGGTATTGTTTTTCTGCTTGCATATGTTGATGACTTGATGATTACTGGTAGTAATGTTCTGATTATAAATGAAGTAAAATCTTTTCTGCACAAAAAGTTTAAAATCAAGGATTTAGGACCCCTAAAGTATTTTCTTGGTCTAGAGGTTTTGAGATATGAACATGGTATAATTCTCAGTCAGAGAAAGTATGCCAGTGAGATTGTTGATCAAACAGGTTTGGATGAGGGACAAGCTGTTACAACACCTATGGAACAAAATTTAAAACTCACAGCACAAGAGACAAGAGATGATCATTATATTGAAGACTTTGGAGTCTATAGAAGACTTGTTGGTAAGCTCTTGTATTTGACCTTGACCAGACCTGATATCTCCTTTACTGTGCAGGTATTAAGCCAATTTATACAAGAACCCAAGGAGTCTCACTTGAAGGCAGCATTGCGGCTAGTCAAATATATTAAGGATAGTCCAGGACGTGGGATACATCTCTCATCCCATGGCTCTTTTGACCTGGAATGCTTTTGCGATTCAGATCATGGGAGCTGCACAGATTCGAGGAGGTCTGTGACTGGATTTCTGATCAAGTTTGGAGGTTCTCTTGTTTGCTGGAAATGTAAGAAACAGAGTACCGTTTCTATATCTTCAGCAGAGGCAGAGTACAGGGCTCTAAGAATGGCAGCAGCGGAGATCACATGGCTTGTAGGACTAATAAAAGAATTACAAGTTCATGGCGTTGAACCTGTAAAAGTACATTGTGACAGCCAATCTGCCATTCATATAGCCTCAAACCCTGTTTTTCATGAGAGGACCAAACATATAGAGATAGATTGCCATTTTGTAAGGGAGAAGCTCTTAGCTGGAATGATAATATTCAGGCATGTTAGATCTGAAGAACAACTGGCAGATATCCTGACAAAAGCTCTTGGAGGACCACAACATGAATATATTTTGAGCAAGTTAGGAACCTGTGAATATAGAGTTCCTAACTTGAGGGGGGGTGTTAAACATATTCATTGTTGTGATTTAATTGGGTAGTTAGAATCTTGGGCTTTCTTGTAATTTTGTTAGATTCTTAGTTGAGTTCCCGTGCCTATATATATTGGGCTTGTAAAACGGATGAGTTAAGCAGTGTCAATAATACATGGTATTATTCAGATAATTGGGCCCTCTTGTTTTACATTCATCATTTCCAAATCTACCATCAAGAAGGACAATAGAATGACTTCAAGCATGCTTCTTGGCGTTGGCGGACATTTGAGGGCTCTTCCCAAGGTCGTGAGGGGTAAGCAAACCTCGGAGAGTTGCCAATAATCCTACAGCATAGTAAGGGCCGTATATCACGAGTAGCTTAGCAGATGCTCTTCCGGAACCCACCATTTCTGTTAATGTAGGAACCTGAAACGCAGTGTTCATCAAAACATGAAATCACAGAACACACATATATATGTACAGATCTTTGAAAGATCAGGTGATTAATTAATTATACATACCATGGAAGCAGTCATAGAGCCGCCGTAGATCAAGAGAGTGGTCCTGAGCCAGGGCTTGGAAGTCAACAAGCCGTAAAAATTGCCAATAACGAGTGGCATTTGGTAGGCGATTTCATGGAAGACGATTCCGACGAAGAAATATGGCTTCTCTATCATGAGATAGTGGCCAGAATAGCGGAGGAACCAGTCGTTGAGTTGGACGAGGAAGCGGGGGTAGTACTCGCGAGGTATGAAGACTTGAGTATCCAGAGCAGGAACTCCCAGAATCAATGTCACCCAGAAGAACATGAGGATGGGGTCTATAACTTTTACCAGAGAACCCATTTTCCAGAGAATTGAACAAGCCAACTCTATTCTCCAGTCTCAAGATTCAGAAAATGGGGCTCTTATGAGGAAAGGATGCAAAGGGAGTGGGACAGGCATGGGGATAGGTGTTTGTTATGACTCGTTATTGTTGCTTCAGTAGTGGCCCACCGTTTGGATGGTAGGGATCAGAGAGAGAAAACGAAGTGTAGTTAAAATCAATTAAAATATATAAAATAATCCTGATTTAAAATTTAATAATTTTCACATTTTTTTAAATAAAATTTTCCTTTTTTAATAACAAAATAAACTTCAGAGTCTTGCCACTCTTGAATCTGTCCACCATGTGCCAAAATTAGCATGCAGTCTATAGTTTAGTAGCCAATTGACAAAGTCATCTATTAGTCAGTGTCGCGCCACCTCCGGCTCGTGTTGGTCCTATTACCGTCGGCGTTCGCATCATCAAACAAGAAGGTGTTGCCGCTCTTTACAACGGAGCCTCCGCCACTGTCCTCCGCCAGAGTCTCTACTCCACCACCCGAATGGGACTCTACGATTACCTCAAGCATAAGTGGTCCGATCAAAAAGCCGGCGGCAACATGTCGCTTTCCGGGAAGATCGCATTCGGTTTGTTGGCTGGAGGTGTGGGTGCAGCAGTTGGAAACCCGGCGGACTTAGCCATTATTCGCATGCAAGCCTTCACATAAGCAGAATTGGGTAGGACAATACCCTTGCCTGGTAGCCAGCCCAAGGTTTGGCCATACCCATAAAAAGTCCTAATGAGTTTGGGCCAGATAGGACGGGCTTTTGTGCCAAAAAAATCAATATACTACATTAATTAACTACTATTTTTTATTTTAATTATAAGACTTTGTTTGTAAACTACAAATAAGATTTTATAATTAAGATCATAGGTAGTATTAACTAATTATTTATATTTCTCTAAATAATCTAAGGTAACTTTATACTAAAATAGCAACTTGGCCTGCATTTAGTTATTTCTAATTAGTTTACTACTCCCTCCGTTCCTTATTATAAGAGACGAATAACCGATTTACGTTGATCAAAAAAACAGTTAAAATTAGTTAAGAACAATCAATGTGTAAAAAGTATAATTTTTTTCCCAAAACTATCCTTATTAATAAGGAGAGAGAGCATGAGAGAGAACTATTAAATTATTAAAAGAAAGAGAAGTGGGAGGCAAAGAGAGTGTGAGTTGGAGACAATAAATATGGGTAAAATAGGAAATCAACACAAAAAAGTAGAGACAACTTTTAAGTGTCTCTTATATATAGGAACATGTCATAAGCATCAAATGTCTCTTATAATAAGGAACGGAGGGAGTATTAAACTACATAAAGGAGTGGACTATGACAAGAAAAACGTTATTAGTATATTTTATTAAACTTAATTGCTTTTCTGGTTTTTAAAATTTCTTAATACTCTTAAATGCTCATAAGAGAATGGAATCAGTTATATTTTTTAAAAAAATCTCTTTGTTGTGGTTTAGTAAATTTTTAAAGTATCCTATTCAGTTTTTAATTGTAACCAAAAAGAGAAAGCAATTTTAGAAAAACAAGAAACAAAACAAATTTCAAAATAATTCAATTATCCTTCTATGGGCATTATATCTAAGTCATGCTCAAAATAAACGATATATAATTACTCATATGCCAATATACAAATTGCCAATCGCCATAATATTTGCATTAAAAAAAAGGCCATACATATCTCAATAAATGATAAGACGTCTGATTCTTATAATCATTTGAAAATAAAAGCAAGTATAGTAAACATTAAATAATGATGCAACAGTACGTTTGATTTATGAGGGAGGTGAATAAAATATATAAATAAAATGTCTGGCCTTGTCCGACAATTTGTCTGGCCCAAATATGCCCAACATTTTTTTGGGCCAATTTTTTAGGACAGGAGGCATTTTTTGTGTGGGTCTAGACAGGCAACCAGGCTTTATGAACGCTTATAGGGGTAAGGCATGGAATTTGACCCTCATATGTTTTCCCACTATGGTCTTCTTCTTTCTCACTACTTCATCTCTGCCTCCCTCTTGCACTCCTGAACACTTCATAAAAATCAATATAGGATATTCAATATATTTTATAATTTTTTATCTTGTCAGTTTTTAATTCTTGGTCATTGAGTGATCAACTTTTACCACATAATCATTTTTCCAAATGCTTCTCTTGCGCACAATTATAGGCATTGTCCCTCAGCTTTCTTCAAGACTTTGTCTGTTAAAGATCTAGAGATCAAATAGATTGAGGAGTTCAGTCATCTCAAATCATATAGTTCTCCTAAGCACTCCGTAGCATTCTTAACATTTGAGTTGGATAATTAATTTGTGGATATCAAGAAAATAAATTGAGTTAGTTATTTATAACAAATGTATATTGATTTTTTAAGAATAATCTTTCTGATCATATGCATTGTATAACTATAGAATTAATTAAGATATTTTAAGAAAAACTATAAAATTAAAAAACGAAGTGAGGTGACTCCTTGTATTTAAGATGAAATCAAATTTCTGGTCTAGTTGCATGTCTCTTTACACATGTCCCTCATGTATTGCTTGATAGTGAATTTGACATCTAATTCTCAGTTTGACTTGCAGAAATTTCTCACCAAATTCTTGAGGGAAGACGTGTGCATATTATGCCATTCTCGCAAGCTATAGTAAATTAGTAATGGATCCAGCTTCTCTTCTCTACTCTCTACCCTTCCTATCTACTGCCTTTCTGCTACCTTCAAACGCACCGTCTCCAAACTCAAATCTCTTGTCACCTCCTTGCGTTTTGCTGCACCAGGGAGAGGGATGGGTAAGAGATGAGTGAACCACCGAACTTCAAAAAGCTGATGGTGATGAAATTTTAAAAGGAGAAAAACTTCATAATAAAAAAAATCTTTTATATAAACACAAGTCAGCATAAAAGTTTTTTCATTAAATCTTATTATCATTACTTAGTATTTATTTTTTTTCTAATTTTTATTTATAAAACATAAATATATTTTATATCTCCAAAAATCACATTTTTGATTTGGCTTCTTCTTTTTTTTTGACCAGGGAATTTGATTTCTTCTTTTGTTTAATTTTAATACTTAGCATTTTATACTTACAGTTATATATAATACTTAAAATTTAATTAGTTTTCTGGTCTTTAATACAAGAAGTAATTAATTAATTTGAATAAATTAATAATATTAGTTAGATTAGTTAATATAATTTTTTTTTTCTAAAACACCCTAACCCTATGTTTGGTACGAGGGACTTGAAGGGAAAGAAAAATTTTAATAAGCTCAATTTATAAAAATTAAAGAAGTAGGATTCTGAAATTTTGATAAAAAGAATATACAAGATAAAAGAAGAAGAGAATTTAATTACAAACTTTTAACCTCACTTCTTCAATTTTTTAAATCAAACTCATTAAAATTTTTTCTTCCTTTCCTTCCCCTCCGTTTCCCTCATACCAAACTGACGATAAACATCTTCTTTAATTTCATCCCTCCCTCTCCTACTTGATTAGGGTTAATTTAGAAAAAAAATTGATAAATATGTAAAATTGTTTTTATATATAGGACCAATATTAATTTCACAATTAGTTTTTATGTTAAGAACCCGAAGAGTACTAATTATGAACATTTTAACTAAGTGCAACTTCATTCTTAAATTTTAAGCCATTTGTATTTCAGTTTCTGAATTTTGATTTGATGCAACTGAGTTTCTATAGTGTTAATCATTTAAAATGTTTAGTCTCTAAATTTGATAAAATATCTAATTTTGTTTTTTAAAATATACGGACTAAAATTCGTTTGCTTAATCATTAGCCGAATTCTCTAGGAGTAATGAGAATCCTCTCTTATCTATTGCCATTAGCATGCTGGGGAGTTATATTATGGGGAAAACGTGGATTTTTTGTGGGGAATAATAATGCCTCAGATACGATTTCACGGCGAAAAGCAGAATCTGTTGGGGCCCATCTCCCCTCCCGTAGCTTGGAATTACGTAAAGGCGTGTCACTGTTGGTCAACCATTTCCAAAAGGAGTACTAAATAACTACTAGTAATTGGTGGGTGTTTTTACGATGGATTTTGGTCCTCCAAAGATAATGCAAGCATCAATTTGCACCTTCCAAGAAAGCAAGTCAAGACAAGAAAATTGGTACAAATGTGCTTCTTTTGATAAGTCAATGAAGAGGTCCAACTCTCTCTCGGCCAAGAATCACGAGGAGGAGGAAGGAGGAGCGGATGGGATTATGATGCAGGGGGAGGTTGAAGAGAGAAAGAGGGGAACAAAGAAGGGGAAGAGGGATAGAGAGCAAAGAAAGAATACTCTCTAAAAGAGATAAACTTAACAGTGAATTTATTTTAATTCTCAAAGCCTACAAAATGAGATGGGGTTTAGATATAATCTCCACTCTAACCTTAAGAATTTAAAGCAGAACATTCTAAAATACAATTACAAAATATGATAAAAAGTTCATAATTACGATAAAACAGCTGCCCTGAGATAAAATAGTTGACAGTCTCCGAATTATGGTTCAGATCACAGCGTTCATCATTTTCAAATCTACCGTGAAGAAGGACAGTAGAATGACTTCAAGCATGCTTCTTGGCGTTGGCGGACATTTGAGGGCTCTTCCCAAGGTCGTGAGGGGTAAGCAAACCTCGGAGAGTTGCCAAGAATCCCAGAGCATAGAAAGGGCCGTACGACATGAGCAGCTGAGCAGGTGCTTTTCCGGAACCCACCATTTCTGTTAATGTCGGAACCTGAAACGCAGTGTTCATCAAAACATGAAATCACAGAACACACACACACATATATACACAGATCTTTGAAAGATCAGGTGATTAATTAATTATACATACCAAGGAAGCAGTCAGAGAGCCGCCGTAGATCAAGAGAGTGGTCCTGAGCCAGGGCTTGGAAGTCAACAAGCCATAAAAATTGCAAATAACGAGTGGCGTTTGGTAGGCGAAGTCATGGAAGACGATTCCCATGAAGAAATAGGGCTTCTCTATCATGAGATAGTGGCCACTTTCACGGACGAGCCAGTCGTTGAGTTGGATGAGGAAGCTGGGGTAGTACTTGAGAGGTATGAAGATTTGAGTATCCAGAAAAGGAACCACAATAAGCAATATCACCCAGAAGAACATGAGAATGGGGTCTATAATTTTTACTAGAGAACCCATTTTCCAGAGAAGTGAACAAGCCAACTCTATTCTCCGCTCTCAAGAGTCAGAAAATGGGGTTCTTATAAGGAAGAGATGCGCATTGAGCGGGACAGCTACGGGGATAGGTGTTTGTAATGACTCATTATTGTTGCTTCAGTAGTGGTCCACCGTTTGGGTGGTAGGAATCAGAAAGAGAGAATCAAGTGTAATCAAAGTCAATTAAAATATATAAAATAATCCTGATTTAAAATTTAATAATTTTCACTTTTTTTAAAATGAAATTTTCCCTTTTTAATAACAAAATAAACTTCAGAGTTTTGCCACTCTAGAATCTGTCCGCTATGTGCCAAAATCAGCATGCAGTCTATGGTTTATTGGCCAATTGACAAAGTAATCTACTCATCAGTATGTGCCTTGCGTGGGTCAAGCTTCATTATTTCATTGCCAGCTACAGGGTAACTCATGACAGATTATTGGGTGTACAACAGCATCTCATATGTGTAATCCGATGCTCATG